GGCGGCCCTGTGGGGCGGGGCGGGCCGGCGGGCCAGGACACCCGGCCGGAGGTTCCCGGCCCAAGCACCGGGTGGTTTTTGGCACCGGTGGGACGAAGCGGCACCTTCCGAGTGACTCAAATGTACCTCAGCCCGCGGCAGTGGGAGTACCGGTGCGGAAGCCCCCGCTATTTCACCAGCAGACCTTGCACACGCTCACGCTGAGCTTCCCCGACCATAGAAAATCTTACTGTCCGATGACACGTTTTATAACCAGCTGTCTCTCTTTGCTTTTAGATGCTACAACTGCGGTGGCCTTGACCACCACGCGAAAGAATGTAGTCTACCTCCACAGCCAAAGAAGTGCCATTACTGTCAGAGCATCATGCACATGGTGGCTAACTGCCCCCATAAAACTGTCTTGCAGCAGCCCACTACTTCTCAGGGAAGACACGAAGCTGAACCGCAGCCTTCCACTTCTGCTTTCCTGAGAGAAGGGGGAGGGACGCACGGCTACTCGTCTCCATCGTACTCTCAGGAGGGCAGGTCGGAGATCTCGGAGCGCTCGGGCAGGTCACCACAGGAAGCTTCGTCGAGTAAGTTGTCTGCGTCGCCCGAAGAACCAAGCAGAAAGGGGCCTTCTGTTCAGAAAAGGAAAAAAACTTAAAGCATTTGTTATAACTTTCCATTTTCTTTATCCTCTTGGGATGTCTACCTCATGCAAGTACAGGGGAAATGATTTCATAATCAGTAGCTGACCTTGAATTTTAACTACTGTTGAGGAACTGTGAATTTTTGTTCTTTATTAGACAAATCACTCCAAGCAAAATACATTTGAGCAGGGTGCATTACGTTTTACCTTCTGTATGTGTGTGTATATGAGTGTGCACGCGCGTGTGTGTTTGTGTATGTATCTATAAATATATATTTTTTCCATCAGACCACTCTCTAGCTCCCACAAGACATTACTGTGAAGCAATAGGCACAGTATCCACAAACGTTCCTGAACTCATTCCTAGTTCACAAACAAGAAAAACTGAGAAATCTCATTCAGAAAGAAACCAAACCTGATAAACCACACACAGAACTGAGATCAAGACTGTTACTTCTCTTATGAACCAAAGGATACTTTCACATTTTAAGGCTGCCATATGGTACTAAAGATACTAAGACATCCCCCATACCATCAATTTGAGTTATTTTCTTTCTCATCTCTGCAAAGTATCAAAACCCCTCCCCTCCCTGTGCCCTCACAGGGCAGTGTCATGACTCAACACGGCTCTCATTGCCACCACCCTTTGTTGGTAAGGAGTTTAAAGCTCCAGAAAAAGACAATGAATGTGTAGTTTCTCTGCTGGTTTCTCAAAACGTTTTGTTAAATTAATATGGTTGTAACTGTAATTTAGGTGACTGTTGCATAGGGGAGAATGTAAAAGTTGTTACCAAACAGACCTTTTTGAGACCCTTTGTATTCTGTGAACATTTAGGGGACCTTGGTGGCAGTAGCAGCAGCAGCAGCAGCAGCAACTTCTCTTTGGTCCCAAGTAGCGCCCCTCAGTTTGAAGGGACCACCCCCTTGTTTTCTATTGACATGCCATGGAGAACTCCCTAGGGATTTTTGTTGTTGTTGTCTGGTTCGGTTTTAAAGAAAATTGAATGCAAAGTTAATAAGATGCTGGGATAAATAGTTTCTTAAGAATAAAGGTATATGGGTATTTGGGGTTGCTCAGCCAGCCTCCTTTGCTGATGATGCAGCATGTGTACAGTCAAGAAGGACAGGTGTCTGCTGCAGACAGGCCTGAGTGAAGGCACCTGCAAATTTGCCAGAAGCCCTGGGCATCATCTGCTTCTTGTGAACTGGAGACTGTTGCTGACCAGCCTTGGTCCGGAGTGCACTGGGACCACACACTTCTGCATTAAAGAGGAGAGAGATTGGTGGCCTCAGAGTGAGACTCCCTGGGCTGCAGCTCTTGCTCGGGGTTAATAGAGTTGGAGCCTATCAAAACTTCAAGTCTCTTTCCATTTGTAACTTCTGAATTACCAAGTCATACGTAAGATAACGTACTTTGACAAATCCCATTGCGGATGAAAGTTAATTGGAGAAACCTGTATGATCCTTAACATTGGCAATAAACACAGGCTGTTAAAGCTTGAAAGAGTCGGGTAGGTTTAAGCTCGGATAATCAAACTAAAGGAACAGCCTGCCTGAAAGGCTACAGCAAGCCGAAGTCCTACCCATGGTAACTGTTTTGCAGCTGATAGTTGCAACAGGTATTCAGCTGGCTCATTATGTGGCCTTCCCCCTCCCATTGGCCTGCCAGATGAGACTTTTACTGTTGCTGCTGCTGCTGCTTCAGTAAACAGGTAGTAATCAAACACCTCAGTGAAGGGCACAATTTCAAGAAAACTATTTGTGTGAATTCCTTGCCAGTGTTTGCGAGAATCTCAATGGTTTATACTGAAGTTCTCAATATGCTAATGCAAAGCTTACCTTTGACGATATTGAATGTGATATATCTATAGAGAAGAACTTCCTTGCCTTACGTAAGGAAAGTAAACTTATTTAAATTATGTAGACAAATCAAAGTGGCATTGCTTAACCTTCTAGCCGGTGTAAAAACCAGGTTAAACAGCAAAGATGCAAAACTTAGGTCACTTTGAAAATTTAAACCAAAGTTCCTTATAGAAATAGGCAATTGTGGATTTGAAAACTGGTCATTCCCTGTTTATATGTAAGAAGTTCAGAGCTGAGATAAGGAAATATTTTCAACATGCAGATTTTTTATTGGTGCTGTTTGAAATCACTGTGTGCACCAAAGTCAGACTGAACTGCTAAGAGCACATACCAAACTCTATCTTATTGTTGAAAGCTTAAGGTTTTATTTTTATATATTAGAATGTTATCACTATTACATAACATACTCAGGACAAAGAACTTTGCTCAGGGAATATACCATGTAATGTTGTTTTTTCTTTACAGAATAGTCTACAGACCTGCTTACTCAGAACAAACCAAATAGTCTTAGACCTTTTTATCTCTATATAAGTATTATGTACTGATATTAGTAACTACCTCTGAGTTGACATAGACCTACATTTCTGATAATCAGATCTCAGCATTTTGTAATGTAAGTTCCTGTGAAATGATAAAGTGGTATTCTGTACTGGTTGCTTATGTGAGCATTTGTGTCTTTACATTCACAGGGTCTGAGTTTTCAGAGATGCTGGGCAACCGCAGCTCCTACTGGCTTTCAGTTGGAGATACTGGTAGCTTAGCTTTTCTGGGAGGGGAGGGAGGCTTTCACGGGTTTAATTGCTCTTGTGACCATAGCAGAGCTTCACAGAGGAGATAATCGTGTATGTTCTTTGTGCCAAGGTGGGTTAGTCTCATCTAAGTTCAGATATCAGCCCTCTTCTGTCCCTGTAAGTAGTAATTGCACAGCTCTGTAGGGGAAAGTCCAGGCAATGATGTTCCCTGGGTTGGGATCCACTCTCCTTAATGGTCTGCAAATACTATACTGAGGGGACACATGCAGCAGTGCATGTACTTGTGGTACCGGTCCAACATGCATAGACATCGAATGCACAAAATAAAACCTAGCCTTGTGAAGTGCTCTAGGGAACAGCTACAGCACATGCTCCAAGGCAGGTGTGATGTGAAAAGCTTTCAAGCACCCAAGGAAACAGTTAAACAGAATATAGGCAAGTGGGGAAGGAAACTGCACTGTGGGCAAATGTGTGGTACCTAAATGTCCACTGATGGGAGTGGTCCTCCTTGAGCTGAGCTGTTAAGAGGAACAGCAGGACATGTTCTGCTGCCTAGCATGAGGTTGGCCTGAATCCATAGGGATGTCCCCAGCAGGGAAAAACATTTTCATCCCTAAGTGCCTATGTCTTGTCAGTACTCAGAACAGTGAAGTGATTTGTTCAGTAATAACAGTGAGATTCGACTGGTAACAGTGTACCTGATGCTTCTAATGTAGGTTGTAGCTTGCTTTAACATCTGTATGCAATTTTCTTAATTGTGTGACAAATTCTTCTTCAAGTTTGTTGCTCATTTCAGGGTTGTTGGTTTGGGGTTTTTTTCCAGTTTCATCCAACAGTTCGATGCTGAGAAATGCTAGTGGAAAAAAAGGGCAGCAGCCAAGCTGGTGGAAGGGAGAATCTTAGGTTCCCCTTCCCAAATGCATTAACCAAAACATTTGTGTCGCTCAGGAAGACGTACCTGCCGACAGCAAAGTTTCTGCAGTCTAACTGTCCTGTCCAGGGG